TTTTTAACTAGGCTCCATACCCAATGTGGGGCTTAAATTCATGAACCCAGGATCAAGAGTTGCATGCTCTACCGACTGAGCCAGCCAGGCACCCCAAGCATGCAACCGTTGATCTCCAGGTTGTGAGGTTGAGCCCCACATTGGGTGTAAAGATACCTTAAAAATTAAAATAAATAAATAAATAAATAAATAAATAGGGGCACCTGGGTGGCTGAGTTGGTTAAATGGCTTAGGCCATGATCTCATGGTTTGTGGGTTCAAGCCCTGCATTGGGCTCTCTGCTGTCATTGCAGAGCCCACTTTGTATCCTCTGTCCCCCTTTTTCTCTATACCTCCCCCGTCTCAAAAATAAACATTTAAAATAGAGAAAGAGAAAGAAGAGAAAAGAAATGAGAAAAGAAAGAAAATAGTATTTGTTTTGCAGTGAGCCATCATAGAGTTAGTACATACCCCGAGCAGTGACAGTGGCACCACCAAGCTCCTCTCCTGGAGTTCAGCATCTCTGCATCAAGCCACCATAGTTTTGAACTGTATCTTAGGTAATGCATCTCTGTTTTATCTTGATTTATTTTTGTGTATCCATTAGTAAGATTTGTCCTAAGGTATCAGAAAAGCCTAAAAGTGGGGGATTTTTTTTTGGTCTGGGAACACCCAAAAATGTTTCCATATAAATTAATGGGAATTGCTTTTTTGCTTTTAGCCTTTTCAGTTTACAAAAGGTTTCCTGGGAAGGCTCTACTTTCTAATAGCAGATGAAACCTGTAGGTGCACCTGATATCTGGATAAGGAGAGCTTAGGAGTAATGTAATTTCACAAAGGGAGATGTCTAAGTTTAAGAAATAAAACTGCCTCTGTGTCAACCACCATAAAATACAGTTTAATATACTAGGAAAAGCAAAGAAATAAATGGGTTAATAGTCTTTATGTGTGAAACACTCATACAAATGAATAATTCCTAAATATACAAGCTTAGAAATATGGGTGGTTAATAAACACTTTAGAAAGTGGTTGGCTTCACTAGGTAGCTCTGAAATAAAACACTGAATTAAATTAAAAGTAAAAGTAAAAGGTGGGATTTGAGGAGGGCATTTGTTGGGATGAGCACTGGGTGTTGTATGTAAGCGATAAATCACGGGAATCTACCCCCAAAATCAAGAGCACACTGTATACACTGTATGTTAGGCAACTTGACAGTAAATTATACTAAAAAAAAAAAGTAGTATATTATTTTTTGTCTCAGGACCTTTGCCCGTAGTATTAAGTCCTTTGCATGGCTGACCTCCCTATCCTTTAAGACTCAGTGTGTTGCACCATCTCAGTGAACCCTTTTTGAATTACTTAGTAAATGAGTTTCTCCCTGTATCTTGACACCCTGCTGATTTCCTTCATTGCACTTCACCTTTCAGAATCGTTTACTGCCTTTCTCCTTCAGTAGACTCTGCTCTGAGAGGAGAATAAGAATGCCATCTAAAAAGTGTTCAATAAATGTTAAATAAAAAAAGTAAATGAAAGTAATAGAGTGACATGCCATTTTTGGTATCTAGTTTGCTGACATTTTTGAGGAAAAATATGTGAGACAAGATTAGGTATGTACAGTCATTGTGCTGCTTGGTAAATCGGTGTTACCTCTCAGAATGGAAATTTTGTAAAAGGTAACAGCCTTAAATATTCATGCCTTTTGACCAAGTAATTTTATTTCTTGGAAACTGTTCTAAGGAAATCATCTCTGCCAGAGGATGGGGAAGCTTTCTTCCTAACTCTTCCTATAGTCAGTGGTATTCCTTCCTAAGAAAAGTAGATAAAAAGTTAATTAGGCCACGTCTTAGAGTTGTCTTCTTTTTCTGTGCCCCTCATTGAGTAAGTTATGCAAAGGACTCCTTCCTTGGCTGGCTGAGTAATCTTACATTCTATATTCTCACAAAAGTCTTTAAGAGTTCTTACTGCTTGAGGCACCTCATTGTGCTCTTGGTAAATTTGAATTTGGCCTTTGGGGGAAGGCAGAGGCCCTGTTTAGGCCCTGAGTGAAAGGGTAGTACCCTAATCCAGTTTACCAAAGAACCTTGCTTTGGGGTACCTAGCAGTAATCCAGCTAAAAGTGGTACTTTGATTTTGCTTTTGGTGACTTCCCCCTATTCTCCCATCCCTCTATGTGCTGTCCCTGCTGGATACCCAACTACTTCTGTATTGTGTGTGTGCTTGTGCACACAGGCATTTGTGTATTCCTGGGTTTTTTAGCTTAGTGCTTCCCTTCTTCATGTCCTTCTTCATGTCCATACAGAAATATTTTAGGACCAACAGGGATAATGGAGAGGTCTTTATGTTCATTGTTGTTCAAATATAGGTCACAATCCATTAGTGAACTCAATCAAGTGGGCCTGCAACTATCATTAAAATAAATGAAGATAACAGAATACATTATTTATAGTTGGAAGAATTATGAGTATGTATTTGTAATCCTGCAGTATGAAATGTATTTTTTATGTGGGTCACTGTCAAACTTTGAAAGCTATTTGTTCTAGCCAAATATCAATTAATGATGCCCAAACATCTCTTTTGTTTCTTCATTCTTAAATGGGGCAAGATTTATGAACAGAGATTCAGGCTTAAAATTGTAAAATTTGAAGAATGATCCATTCAGGAGACTGGCTAAATAAAGTATGATGACTTGTCCTTTCAGGTTATTTTTTCTCCAGTTGGTATTCTTTTCTTTCTTTTTTTTTAGGGTTTGCAGTGAAGGTCCAAAGGTTAGCAATAGCTTTCTTAATTCTTGTAGAATCAATGGAGCCTTAAGGAATAATTAGTGTACCATAATATACTGGTAACAGCACAGAGGAAACACAATGGAGCCCCAGTTCTGTGACAGCCTTGGACAGCGTTCTTAACTCCTTTATATCTGTTTACCCATCTATAAAATGGAGCTAATAGTGCATTTCTATTGTAAGGTTGCCCTGAGTAGGATATACAGTAATGCATGCAATGCTCAGCTGGGTGCTTGGACTCCCAATGAGTAGAATAACTTCCAGGCTGTTTTGCCTTGGACATTATTGAATGTCTGTCTTTGTGCCTTAGTTTCTCCTTCAGCTCACATTTCAGCAAATATTATTAGATGCTTCTTTGGAAGATGTAAAAACTTGTTTAATTACTTCACAGGAATTTGAGACCATTAAAGTCAGAAAATAATGAATGTAAAAAGTATTGCACAAATTTGGATGGTATTAATTCCAGTAGTAGCAATAATAGGAAACCTGTTTGCACTGCATTTGAGCTGATTAATATCTGTATGTCCAAAGAAGTAAAATCTGCAGTTGATTTAGATGGGAATAAATAGATACTTTCAGTTCTCTAAAAGCACCAATCTCTTCTGCCTTAGGACCTTCAGTTACTTCTTTTGCTTGAAATATACTTCTCTATCTCCACGCCTCATGTCTGTATATCTAGTTCCTCCTTATCAGCTGAAAGAATACCACTTTAGAAAGGCCTTCCCTGACCATCTAGTCTGAGTAGCTTCTTAGTTGTTTTTTCAAAAATCACTTTAAGGGGTTCCTGGGTGGCTCAGCCGGTTAAGCATCCGACTTCAGCTCAGGTCATGATCTCATGGTTGGTGAGTTCAAGCCCTGCGTTGGGCTCTCTGCTGACAGCACGGAGACTGGAGCCTACTTTGTCTCCCTCTCTCTTTTACCCTTCCCTGCTCACGCTGTCTTTGTCTTTCTCAAAAATAAACATTTTTTTAAAAATCACTTTAAAAAATCAGTACATTAATTTATAACTTGGTTCTCGATTTTGTTTTCTGTTTCCCTTCTCACCAGCTAGGATGTAAGCCTTGAGCAAGGACATTGCATGTGTTGTGTATTATTTTTTCTCCTGTACCTAGATCAGTGATTAACAAAATAAATACTTGTTGAATGTTTGAAGATAGTGTAAAGTATGAAAATTATCTATAATTGTACTTCTTAGAGTAAGTAACCATTGTTGACATTATATAGTTTTCTAGTTTTATTTTCTATGTGTGTGCTTACATATTTATAAGTGCCTATGATTATATGTTAAACCATATTTCACTGTGTGTAAAGATGAACATGTTTTACTGATGTCTCAATTTGGGGTGTCATATAATCAGGGCTATGCCATGATGTAATTGTCAGCATTTTCATTTTCAGTGGCACATAAAATGAGGATGTGTCTTATAGTATCTTAGATTTGATGAAACACAGTATATATTTGAAACAAATGAGATTATGACATTCAACTCTTTCCCCACCTAAATATCTTGAGCATTTTCCCATATCACTATGTTTAGACCTATCTCATTATTAACATATACTTAGCATATTATTATGGGTGTATCATAAATTGTTCAGCCAGTTTCTCTTGTGGACATTTGGAGCTTCTCCAACTTTTTTGTGTGTGTTACAAACAGTGCTATGTTGGATATACTTGCACATATGTTTATGCACTCGACTGGAATTTCTTTTGATAAAATACTTAGATCAGTGAGTATACATATTTTCTGTAGTGTACAAGAATGCCTGTTTCCCTGTATCCTCAGTAGTACTTCATCTTAGGAAATTTAAAAAATTTGTGTTAATCGGATTAGTAAAAAATATCCTAATGTTGTATATCATTGAATTATGAATGAGATTGAGACTCTTTTAGTGTTAATGAGGTGTTTTTATTTCCTCTCCTGTGACGCACTGTGCATAGAACAGTAGACCTTTAATTGGTTGGCACATTTGCTGCAATTAGAAAAAGAAGTCCTCACAGTTTGGAGCCATGCATTATCATATAAATTCTTTGGAACAACTTTAAGGGCAGAGCCTACCCTTGTGGAGGGCAAGAGAGCTTTATAAGGACCGAAAATTGGAGGAGAGACAAATTCAGGAATAATCAGAATCTTTGTAATGGAGACCAAAAAGGAGTACAGTATCATCAATTTATGAACTGAATACTGGAAATTAGACTGTGTTCTTAATCTTTAAACTTTAAATGCTCCTCTTTAATATGACTTGGTTATGGTAGTATTAGGTTAGTAAGTTTGAAATAGGGCACAACTCAAGGACTTGAATGAAGTCAGTATTGGATCTAGAGATTAAATCTATGGTCATTTAAGATTAGATTAATATGAAATACCAAAATGTTCTTGTCAACATTTTTGAGCACCTTTGCTGTGCTGGAGGGTGTCATTTTCGGAGATAAAGATCAGATAGCCTCTGTCTTTTAGGTTCCATTGCAGCCTTTGAAGGAGACAGATTTCATCCTTTGGTAAGAATGAAACCAAAAGGCACATGGAATGTAAAGAGCATAGAGGAATGTATTTAGTCTAATAGAGTTTAAGGGAGACTTCTGAATTAGATATAACCTAAACTGAGTCTTGAAGGATCAGTAAGAGTTAGCTGTGAGTAGTAAGTATTAAAGGATGTACGACAGCATAAGAGAAGGTACATGTGATGAAATGGACTGTAAATAGTAGGATATTCTTAGAAGAAGTTTGAGGTGAAGAGTGACTTCTGATGAGTCTAAGAGGGTAAGCAAGAACAAGATAATGAACAGCCTTATATGCTATGCTAAAAATTCTGCATTTTGTAGATCAAAGGGAGTTCTTTTGAATAATGACATGGTGAGATTTGCATTTGAGAAATCACTGCCTGAAGATTGATTTATGGGGCAAGACCAAAGGCAAGGAGACACATCAGGAGACAGTCTGGTAATCCAGATGAGAGGAATAAGGCCTTAGCTCAATGGTAATAGCTTAATTAATTTCTCTTAGTTTTTACAGAATTTGGTCCTCTTCTTCAGAACCCCTCTGAGATTAAATTTCATGGAACTGGGATTATTATTTTGCAGAGAGGACTTCTATTTATCATCCAGTTGCTTATTCCTTTATGTCTGTAAGAAGTTTATGCTTTTTATAAGTACCTAAGTCAGTAGTATTGTGCTATATTGAGATGGTTAACCTTTTTTGTATGCTTTGTGATTTTCTTAGAGGGAAACAATTTTGTTGGAGTATTTTGCCTATAAGTAAAAGTATGGATTTGTTAAATTTAGGTTATATAATCTTTAACTTACATGAATTTCCAATTTCTGTGTGCTAATTTCTTCTTCTTTTTTTTCCCCCCCCCAAAGGCTACTAGCAGAAGATGGTGGATCGCTTGGCAAACAGTGAAGCAAATACTAGACGTATAAATATAGTAGAAAACTGTTTTGGAGCAGCTGGTCAACCCTTAACTATACCAGGAAGGGTTCTTATTGGAGAAGGAGTATTGACTAAGTTGTGCAGAAAAAAGCCCAAAGCAAGGCAATTTTTCTTATTTAATGATATTCTTGTATATGGCAATATTGTCATCCAGAAGAAAAAATATAACAAACAACATATTATTCCCCTGGAAAATGTCACTATTGATTCCATCAAAGATGAGGGAGACTTAAGGAATGGATGGCTTATCAAGACACCAACTAAATCATTTGCAGTTTATGCTGCCACTGCCACTGAGAAATCAGAATGGATGAATCACATAAATAAATGTGTTACTGACTTACTCTCCAAAAGTGGGAAGACACCCAGTAATGAACATGCTGCTGTCTGGGTTCCTGACTCTGAGGCAACTGTATGTATGCGTTGTCAGAAAGCGAAATTCACACCTGTTAATCGTCGTCACCATTGCCGCAAATGTGGTTTTGTTGTCTGTGGGCCCTGCTCTGAAAAGAGATTTCTTCTTCCAAGCCAGTCCTCTAAGCCTGTGCGGATTTGTGACTTCTGCTATGACCTGCTTTCCACCGGGGACATGGCCACGTGCCAGCCTACTAGATCAGACTCTTACAGTCAATCATTGAAGTCTCCTTTAAATGATGTATCTGATGATGATGATGATGATGATAGCAGTGACTAAGGACATATTTTGAAATATTTAATTGGGTGTGACTACCTGAGAAATCAGCTCTGGGAGAACATAGAATTCTGAGCTTTCTCTCAGTTTTGCTCTAGCCATGAATTTGCCTGAGAATCTTTTAACCTATGTGCCTCGATATATTCTATAGAAAATAGGTCCTGTCATTTTGTCCCCCCACCCCCACCCAACTCCCCGCTCTTCTACAGGGATAGACTTTTGCAAATCTACCAGATAAATTTTTGGTTTCTTATTCTTGTTTAATTTTAGATTATTTTGTTGGAAGGTTGAGAAAAGATTTTTTTTTAACAGATCATGTATTACATTGATGTTTACTATATGTTCTGTTATATGGAAATACTAAAAGCAAAAAATGATGGAAAAAGTTGTATAACGCAGTTAGCTAATATTATTAGCTTTTTTCCTAACCATTCTATGTAATGGTTAAGACACCAGTAACAAAAAAACGTGATTTGAAAATACTTTGTTCGGCTTTTTCGTATACCAAGTGGTGCCTTATCATAATAGCACTGTTAAATGAAATAAGCCCCTACCTTCTCACTTTTAGTTTGTTTTGAAAATACACTGGTGCTCTTTGAGGTGATAAAATGAGTATTTATGAATGGGTATAATTAGAAAATACTTCTCATCTGCAAGCTACAAATAACTAAATTTAGAGCTTCTTCATTCTATATGAATATTTTTCCATAAAATAGTTGTGATTATATTTTTATGTTTTATAGGTACCAAATTGTCAAATATATATTTTAAATTAATAGGTTGTCATTCTTAGGGATTTGATTTGAAATTGTCACACTGCATTAGTTTCTACTTTTAGTAAAGCATATTTGTAGGTATAAATTCATCTGCTTTAACATTATTTCTAGAATGAAAAATCTTACAAAACTTTTGAAATTAAACAATCTCTTTAAAAAAAAAAAAATCCCACGATAGAGCATAGATCTACTTGGGTTGAAGACTTGGAAGAAATAATGTGTAAGAATGATGAAGACGGACCAGTTAAGTTTGACTAGACTTATATTGGTGGAAGTATTGTCTATTTCAGTGTGAAACTATCTTGAATTTGCAAATATAGTGTTATATTTTATAAAGTTTTGTAAAGTCCCAAATGATACTTCTATTTTTGTAAAACAATTATATGTTAATCTGTTTCTGAAATCATTTTGCAGTCTATAGAAATAGAGTAGCAGTTGATCTTTCTAAATTGTAAACTTCATTGAGTCAGCCTAGATTGCTTTTGAGAATTAGTAATTTTTCACTTTTTGCTTTTGAGGCAGCCATTTAGGTTGAAAGTATATTTATCATATAAAACTTGATGCATTTTGCACTATTCTCTCCATTTGTATGCTGCAAATAACTACAGTCTTTCAAATATGAAGAAATCAGCCTAAGGTTTATTTTAAATTCCAAACTTCTGTGTTTTTAAATATTTAAATCTGGATATATTGCAGATGTCATGACTGTTTGATTCAGTAATGTGACGGAGAATTTTTGGGTTTGGGTAAGGCACTAACTTTACTGTTAGATTGTGAAAGCATCTGAGATACATAGATTTCCCTGTAGGAAATGTGAAACAAAGCCACAACAGTTTTTTTTGTTTGTTTTAATATCATATGGACATTGTTTCCAAGCAATATATACAGTATAATTGCAGTATAATTAATCAACATATCTCAAAAAGACCATGAAGCCTGAGAAGTGCTAATGGAGACTTTCTGGTACATAGGAACCCAGCAAATTCAAGAACCAAGGGGAAATCTGGGATGACATTTGCATTGTCAACCTTTATTGACTCTGTTTTTACAATAAAAAATATCTTACAACTTAACTCTCTGTTTCTTGCATACTGTGACTTGAAGATTTTTCTCCCTTTCTAAGGTAATGATATTCTGCATATTTTACCTCTTTCAGTAGCTGTGGGGTACCTTTTATGTGCCAGGCATTGTTCTAAGCACTAGGGACAGAGCAGTAAACAGAATTTCCCTCCTTTTAATAGAGTTTCCATGCAAAATGGAATCCAAGATGTATTTCCTTCCAGAATTTGTTCTGTAATGTTTAAAGCTTCTGTAAATCTTTGGTGCCTATTTCTCATGCCATTCCTCTTGAATAAAATTTACTTGGACTTTACCTGCAGTACATTAACCAAATTGGTAACTTTTGATGTAAAGGAAGCAAGATTCCATAGATGCCAACCAAAAATATTAAATTGAATACACCTTATTACAGTACATAAAATGTCCATAGTTAGTCATTTTGTTTCTATATCTTTATTACCTTCATGCTGAAATTCTTATATTGAATTGTAATATTTAATTATAAGTATTCAATTGTATACCTAATGATTCTTGAAAGGTTCTAGTACTTTAGCCACACTCTTTTCTCTCAGATAGGCTAATTTTGTTCTCAAATACTTGTTGTATCTTTAAAGCATATAATAGCAATGATTTGCACATCCACACGTATTAGATTGCTATACATTTTACAAGATAAATAAAACTTAAGAGTGAAGTCTAGGATTAAAATGCATGAAATTTATTGATGGTAATTTTAAGGCTTTATTTTTTATTTTTTTTAATTCTTATTTTTAGATTGTGCGCCAGCAGGGGAGAGGAGCAGAGGAAGAGCGGGAGTGAGAGAATCTCAGGCAGGCCCCCACACTCAGCCCAACAAAGTGCTCAAACCCTGGAACCATGAGATCATAACCTGGGCCAAAAATCAAGGGCCACTCGGGTACCCCTAAAATAACTTAGTTTTGAAAGAAAGCCTTGGGGCACCTGGGTGGCCCAGTTGGTTGAGCGTCTGACTCTGATTTGGGCCCAGATCATGATCTCACAATTTATAGGATTCTGTGTGGCTGCAGGCTGACAGGGTGGAGCCTGCTTGGGATTCTCTCTCTCCCACTCTCTGCCTTTCCCTCGCTTGTACGTGTGCTTGCTCTCTCAAAAAATATAACTTTATTTTAGATCATTTATTAATTATCTGTTCTGTCAGGCTTCATAGGTTTATTTTTTTTTTTTTTAATTTTTTTTCAACGTTTCTTTATTTTTGGGACAGAGAGAGACAGAGCATGAACGGGCGAGGGGCAGAGAGAGAGGGAGACACAGAATCGGAAACAGGCTCCAGGCTCTGAGCCATCAGCCCAGAGCCCGACGCGGGGCTCGAACTCACGGACCGCGAGATCGTGACCTGGCTGAAGTCGGACGCTTAACCGACTGCGCCACCCAGGCGCCCCAGGCTTCATAGGTTTAATGTTGGGTATTCTAAACTTTAAAGGTACATTTTTTTAAAGGTTATTATCAGTGGCATTCTCTTAAATATCAAGTCAAATTTCTTAAAAATTATGTTATACTTGGCATCTGCACTAATTGAAAATTTTTACAACAGTATACTCATATATACAATTGGTTGGCATGATAACCCTGTCATTTTAATTTATCAAGAATTGAAGACTAGAGGAAGTTGGTTGAAAATATTGCTAACATTTGATTTTAAATTTATCAAATACAGAATTGTCACACTGCATTAGTTTCTACTTTTAGTAAAGCATATTTGTAGGTATAAATACAGCATCCAAATTGTTATTGTTACATTATTTATACTAGTTAAAATGATTGCAGTATTCTCTAGTAGTTTTTTCAAGAACAAAGTAGCAGTAAGTACCACTTTAATCAGACTTTGTATACTCCTGTTATCTTAGTGTTTAAAGAAAATACATACTTTACTATTCTTTATTTTTAGCAGCTTTGAGATATAATTCACATACCACACAATTAACTGATTTAAAGTATAAATGTCAGTGGCTTTTGGTATATTCTCTAAAACCATGCCACTATTTCCAGAACATTTTCATCACCATAAAAAAGAAATGCTGCACCGTTAGCAGTCTCTCCTTGTTCCTTCCCCAATCCCCTGACCCTAAGCAGCCACTAATCCACTTTCTATCTCTCTAGATGTGCCTTATCTAGACATTTCACAAATGAAATCATACATTATTTGGTCTTTGGTGACTGGTTTCTTTCACGTTTTATGTTTTTAAGTTTCCTTCATGTATCAAGCATGAGTACTTCTTCCTTTGTATTGCCGGATAATATTCTATGATATGTATGTCCTATATTTATTCATCAGTTGACATTTGGGTTGTTTCCACTTTGGGGCTATTATGAATAATGTTGCTGTGAACATTTTGTGTTCAGGTTTTTGTGTTGACCTGTGTTCCTTTCTCTTGAGTATATACCTCAAAATGGAACTGCTGGGTTATATGTTACCTCTATGTTTAACTTTTTGAGGCATCGCCAAACTTTTCCAAAGTGGTTGCGCCATTTTACTTTCCCATTAGCAGTACAGGAGGGTTCCTCTTTCCCAACACCTGCTGTCTCTGATTACAGCATGTGAAGTCTCTCTGGTTTTCATTTACATTTTCCTAAGGGTTAATGACGGTGTGGATCTTTTCATGTGCTTATTGGCTATTTGCATGTCTTCTTAGAAGTGTCTATCACATCCTTTGTTCTAGGTTGTTATCAGTGAGTTGTAGGAGTTATTTATGTAATCTGAATACGATACTCTCATCAAAAGCACCATTTACAAATGTTTTCTCCCATTCTGTAAGTTGTCTTTTCACTTTCTTGATGGTATTGTTTGAAGCACAAGAGTTTAATGAAGTCCAGTTTATCAATTTTTTTCTTTTATTGATTGTGCTTCTGGTGTCATTGCCTAACATAAGATCATGAAGATTTACTCCAGTGTTTTCTTTTAACTCTGAGTCTGATTAGGACTCCTGGTTATTGATACCCAGAACATATCCTTAATATTACCTCCAAAATTAGAGTTGGAAATGATTTCCTAGTAAATTAAATCATTCATTAGCAAATTTCCAGGCAAGTGAAACATCAGTGCGTTCCTATCAGCCTTCTGTTTCAAGCCAGTAGGGTAAAACCTTTTGGATGTATTGCGGGCAGACTCAGAAAAATATTCCATATGCTGATGACATGGTTGATTGTTATTTGGAGCTGCCTTAAAATATATTTGGCTTTGTACTCCAATTACTATCAGAATGTCTCAAGATAACTAAGTTTTTTTGTTTTTTGGGTGTGTGTGTGTGTGTGTGTGTGTGTGGTTTTTTTAAGAGCGAGAGAGCATGAGCTAGCAGGGCAGAGACAGGAAAAGAGAATCCCTAGCAGGCTCTTCCCTGCCAGCACAGAGCCTGACTGGGGGCTTGAACTCATGAACCGTGAGATTGTGACCTGAGCCAAGACCAAGAGCTGGAGGCCTAACCAACTGAGCCACCCAAGCACCCCAAGATAAACTATTATGACTTAAGATAAACTATTGTGAAAGCAATAGGGTAAAACTGTTAAGTTTAAATTTTTTATATATTTTATAGGAATATTTTGATGACTTGAAGAAACCAAAATTCCAGAGCTACTTAAGGCAAACTTTGTACCTCATAAACATGTATTGAGCACTTTTAATGTGTCTACTACTGTGGAAAAGAATGAGTTGTTTAAACTCACGATTCTCATGATTTTCATGACCTTGATATTTCTAAAGATGATGCACCAGTGATCTTTAGGATGACCCTCAGTGGAAGTTTGTCTGATAATTCCTTATTATTAAATTCAGTTACGCATCTGTGTAGCAGGAGTATCACAGAAGCTGTGTTTCCTCATCATGTCAGGTGTGCTCAATTTCAATTTGTCCCATTACTTATGTTCACTTTGATCACTTCGTTGGGTGGTATATGCTAGACTTTTTCATTATATAGTCACTTTTTCTGATAAGTATTTTGTGAAGTTATACTTTGGAGACTGTAGAAATTATATTCCTCATCAAACTTTCATTTTGTTCATTTCTTTAATGGACTCATGGTTTCTTAGTTCAGTGGTTCTCAAACTTGAGTGTATGAGAATGCCTTGGAGGGCTTGTGAAAACATAGACTGCTAGACTCTCATCTCCAGAGTTCCTGATTTTGTAGGTCAGAGTAGGACCTGAAAATTTGCATTTCAGACCAGTTTCCAGGTGCTGCTGTTGCTGCTGGCCCAGGAACCATACTTCATTACCCTTTATTATCAGAATTTATTTTGATGCTCCTATTGTCCCTAAATTTGGTCAGTGGCAAGTTGGCTCCTGTGGTCTACTGACAAATCATTATTTGAGTCCTTTACATTTTTGCTACAATAGTATGTTCTAGACTCATCTTGAATTTTCCCTGCCCCAACCCAGGAATTGGCCATTTCTCCAAAGAGCTGTTGTGTCTTTTAGTGAAGAGTGCTTTAAAGCCAAGGTCTGGGCAGTAGGTGTGCCTGTTGCTTTGGGAAGAGTACCACCCCCAGGCCCGTTTAGGAGACAAATCTAGGGAACATGTATGTGTGTGCATAGATAGAAATCTAGATGTGTGTGTGTGTGTGTGTGTGTGTGTGTGTAGATAGAAATCTAGATTTCTACCTATCTCTATTGAAATTATGATTTCATACTGATACTCCAAATATAACAACACTATAGGGTTTCTCTCTTCTCTGAGAGTAAAAGACTGGTTCTCATTAGCTTTAGTATATTTAAATTATTTGATCAGTCTCCCTGTATGTAACCTATCTCTCATCACCACTGCTACCTCTCATATGGATACCTCTAACCCCATTCAGGTTCTGATGCTTCATACCAGGCTTTTCCTATCATGGATGCCCCCCTTATCCCACTTAGGCTCTAATACCCCATGCTGGGCCTCCCCCACTTCCACCCTTCTGTGGATGTCTTCATCCTGATTGTTCTCTAACACCTCATTCTAGGCTGCCCTCACATAAGGATACCCTCCACACTTGGGTTCCAGTCCTC